TCAAGTCTATCCATTTATTATGGATATGTATATCAAAGAAAAGTGTCTTTGGCATAAAATCAAGTACATGTGCAAATATAACGTGTTCACACACAAAAGTGCAAGTGCAAACAAATATTGTGTTTACCTTTAAATTACCTTTTGTAATAAAACCACTCACAGATCGTATATATATATATATATATATATATATATATATATAGGGAAATGGAGAGAAAAAGACAGGTGCAAAATTAATACAACATAAAAAGTAAAATCAATTAACAAGACAGGCACTCACACGTGGATTACACAGAATAAAGTGTAGTAGCATTGCATTGCCCCTAAGAGGCCACTTATCTCCAGGATAATGTAGGCAGTAGATCCAGAAGATCTCCCAATTCACATATGCATGGAATAGCCTCTAGTAAAATGCATAAAAAGGCAGTTTAATTGTCATTGATAGCCCAGATCAGCTGAAATAGCTCTAGAGTTTTAGAGATAGCGCTCGAGAAAGTCCAAACTAAACACATCGAGCGAATTTCCAGTGAATTTTTTTGTTAATTTCAGACGAACAAACTCAAAGTAAATGCTAGGGAGAATTACCAGCAAATTTTAGCTGATCTAGGCTATACGGGACATTCAAACTGCCTTTTATGCACTTTAGCACAATTTATTTTGTGCAATACACTTGTGAGTACTTGTCTTATTAATTGATTTTACTTTTTACGTTGTATTAAATACGACACTATAAGTGCTTTTGCTTTTTCTCTCTCTCCATTTCAATATATATACAATTTATGAGAGGTTAACACTTTATACCTTAGGTAAACAAAATTTTTGTTTGCACTTGCACATTTACTTGATTTGTCACCAAATACACTTTTCTTTGATATACATTTGGCACTTAGAATTGAGAGAGGCAATTCCGTCATATGGTAGCACCTTTCTTCACGATTTTCACTATTGCATGTGATTAAATTTGTGTTTTGCAGTATTGTGGATATGTGTTATAAGCAAATTTATTTTGACTTAAACCAAACATGAGAATACTGGAAAAGTATCAGTTTGTCTTCCTAGCTCCTGGCATTCTCCACCAGTTGTTCCACACCTCTTACGTACATAGAATATTTTATTATTTGTTGTCTTGATGTATTGGAGGATTAATAACTTGACTATTTTGTTTCTTGATGCAGGCTGAAATAAATGTTATCCTGGAGGAAAGGATTCAAGTTCTCCAGCAGCAGAACGAGGACTTGAAAGCTCGAATTGACCAGAACGTTGCCGTGACCAGGTAAGTGTAAACAACGTATTATGGTGTATATTAGTGTACAACAGGATTCCATGTTAATAAAATCCACTGCAGCCACTTCCATGATAACTGTTTTCATATAAAAAAAAGTTCATGTAATTTTCTTCATTTTCTGTATTTAGGAACAGCCCTTCACCCTCACCCATAATCCCATGACCATAGAAACATAGAATGTGAGGGCAGATAAGAACCATTCGGCCCATCTAGTCTGCCCAATTTTCTGAATACTTTCATTAGTCCCTGTCCTTATCTTATAGCTAGGATCGCTTTATGCCTATCACACGCATGCTTAAACTCCTTCACTGTGTTAACCTCTACCACTTCAGCTGGATGGCTATTCCAATTACACATTCTTAACAGATAAAGCATTGATAAAACTCTAAATCATAGGTTTGTGATAAGTTTGTCTATTGTATCTTCCAGACAGTTATCTGCTGAAAACGCCAATTTGCACGAGAGTGTGGAGAAAGAAAGTAAGGAAAAGAAGAGACTAAGCAGGACGAATGAAGAACTGGTTTGGAAACTACAGACTGCTGAGTCAATGAGTCCTGTCAAAATGCCTTCTTCTCCTATTAAACAATCTACATCAGGTCCTCTTTCTCCTGCTAAAGTCAGCTCCTCTCCAAGATGACAGTACAGCATTGAATAAGAGACAAACTATTCTGATGCCATTCGTTTTGTTTCACGGATAAGTACAGACATTCACGTCAATGGATTTCTAACATCTACTACAAGAACTCCTGTACTGACCTGTACATGAGACTGATTCGAAAAGTGCGTCAGAGTCTCAGTAATCTAAATGATAGATTTTGAGCCAAGGAAATAAAATATAAAAACTTTTAGCTACTATATTTATCGAGAATGGAGAAGCCACATTACTATTTCAGGTTACACAGAGTCCAATATGCTGGGGATGTATATATTACTGCACATAACTTACAGGTTTAGAAGTACATAAAGATGCTGATACAGTATGTACAATTGGAAGCTTTCCTTTCTCTTTTGGATAAATGCTGATGTGTTTGTGGTCAGCTGTATTCTAGCCTGTGCCTATGTCCCTACCTGAATGGGACATCATTCTGTCCATCCCACTTCTAGAACATGCTCTAGAAAGATCCACCAATCAATAAAGCGCCTTCCTCTCTATCCAAAAATAGGAGAAAACAATCACCAGCGATACAAAGTGTTCATGACAATGCTGCCTTTGCAATAATGTATAGCTTTGCTGGCATGTTAGCCCGTTTAATCCCTACGTATGAGTCACTATGTGATC